GGTGAGCGCTTACGAGTGTCCCTTTCCTTATATAGGTCGTTGAGTCATGTAGAGATGTGACGTTGCCTGATTGGCTGATGGTTGTTCGCCTTGTGTCGATAGGGGATGAGGTGGATGCGAGCAGTCTGACTGCTGGTTGTTGATCGATCGGTCTAATGGTTACTGTTACACGTTGACATCGATCAAGTCTACACCCCCATGCAACAAAAGGACCAATCAGCGCGAAGAAGGCAGGTGGTGTCACACGTCACAATAGGACGACAGTAACCATTAGACCGATCGATCAACAACCAGCCGTCAGACTGCTCGCATCCACCTCATCCCCTATCGACACAAGGCGAACAACCATCAGCCAATCAGGCAACGTCACATCTCTACATGACTCAACGACCTATATAAGGAAAGGGACACTCGTAAGCGCTCACCCATGTACTGCATTGAGAATGTCACCTCGATTGGTGATGAAGCGTTTGCAATACAATTGCCAAGCTCGGCGAACAAGTGAACACCAAGTTATACTACCCGAGCTACAAAAACAACAATCAACACCATTGTTTACAAAACTGTCATCCGTTTTCGGGCGTTCAAGGCTCAAAGCCGCTCGTCGATGGGAAGCTTTCGCCTGTCGTCAAGCTTCAANGTTATACTACCCGAGCTACAAAAACAACAATCAACACCATTGTTTACAAAACTGTCATATATATATATACCTGTTAGCGAGATTATGCGGATAAGACTGATTGTCCTTATAATTTTAGTCCACACCTCTCAACTAGACAATGGTTTTGAAGAGGGAGAAATTCACCTCACAGTTTACCGGTGTGAGGTCTACATAGCTGTCTGTTTATTCGTCGAGATTACTCGGAATGTGGTGGCTTTGTGATTATATTGATATTCAGTTCAGTCTCAGTTTTTACAGCCACTGACCTTGCACTTTCGTGCGCCGGTTTTGATTGCTGTCATTTGGTGCCCCATTTGGATAAAACAGCAGAAAGAAGATCGGAATGTTGAAAGTAAATTCAAGCTGAAGATGGAGATTTCTTATGGAATGGTCTTAGGGGAATAATGAGTGGATGCACGAGAGCCACTGTTTGCGACATCCAGCCATATCACTCAGTAGATCTAACCATCGGTGATCATCATCCGGAGGTCCGCAGCGATTGAGCCTAACGAGACCTATGTGAGCCAGTCTCCTGGTTATGATTTTCATATCCTCATGCCAGGTCTTCATGGATTGATGTTCAGGGAAGCTTAAGCGCTTGCACAAGAAATTACTACAAAAGAAAGCAGTTGTACGCAACGTTCTTATAAGACAGTTGTATTCCTCAAGGATGAAGATAGAAATCCGATCAGTACATTGTGACAACGAATACGATAGGGCCGATTGCACTGCCATAGGTCTCCTGAATCCGAATATGGTTTGTGTCATTCATCATCTTATAAATATTTATCAAACCCGCAATCACCTTTATCTTTTAACTAGATATTGTCCATCAGTTTTCGACATGGCGGTTCCACAGTGGAAGCTGAACGTTTTAAATCAATTACTGCTCCGTGATCAACGTCAAACACATGCTTTCGAAGATCTCATTCGTCATTGTACGTTGACTGTCGCTCGTTACGATTTCACCCGCAGATGGATCTCTACGAAGTGGAGTCTCCCAGCTAGACCGGGAGAAGATTCGCTATGAGCAAGAACTAAAAGCTTGTCGCCAGGAGGTTTCCACGTTGACCACAAAACTCGAAAAGTCGTAAGCCTCTGTAGATTCTTGCTTCCTTTTTATCACGACTAGTTGTGCAATGAAATCGTATGACCACGAACAAAAAGTTTTCCGTTTACAAGAGGAGGTCACGGAACTTCATAGGGAAAAGGGTGCAGTGAGTTTCCTTGGCATACTTGTAACGCGTTTCAATGTAGTTAGCTGCAGATGTCATCAAACTAACAAAAGTTGTTCAAGAAAGGGATCGAGCTCTGGCCTTAAGTACTTCCAAGTAACTTGTTTTCATGCATCATTGGAACTAGGGTAATCTATTTTCAAGATGCGCTGACCTAGAATCAAATATAAAATCTTTGCACTGGGAAATAAAAAGCTTGTCCGAAAAGGTCCATGACTTAGAACGTATTAATAAAGTTCGTTGTTCGCTTTTGTTGTTATTAACATTTATTTTTACTAGCTAATGAAAGACGAAAAGTTTGCTATGGAAATCACCCTGAAGTCCTTAGAGGAGAAGAGCAGAGAAATAGAAGAAGATAGGCAAAAACTCTTAACACGTATTGCAGAACTTCAAGAAACTATTCAAGAACTTCGTAATATCGAGCATGATATCAAGTACAGGTAGATACTGTATGTATTTCGATTATATCTCGTTCACGTAAGACAAACACAAGAGAAAATCCGAAAAAACCTCGCCGAGGCTGCCAGTGTAGTCGTGGACGTCGATGAACCGTATGTGACCGTCTGTCATGCTTCACTAATAACGGGACTTTTGCAGAGACTATCCGGAAGCTTCTAACGTTCGCTCTGTTGTTCCCCAAAAGGCACTTGTAAAAATAGTAAGTTTCCCAAGTGTATCGTTCCCATTCGCGCTTTCAGGATGCCAACGAAGGAGAAGTAAACAGTGTGCGTTTCACTCGGTCGGGAAATCTGTTTGGTTCCGCCGGATTCGATAGGAAGCTACGGTTATGGGCAGTCAATGACAGTGAGTGTTTCTCTTTGCTGACGAGTGATAATTATCCTATCCACTCCGTTTTCCTCATTGTTTAGGGAAAACAGCTCGCCTGATTTCACGATATAGCCAGAGGCTTCCAGTTAGGTAATTCTCAATTTTGCGAGAGTACTGGACTGTTTGATGCCGAGCGATTGAAGCACATGTTCCGCTGCAAGAAATTCAGTCGTTCATTGAACCATGACCTAAGTTGCGCATTCACAAACGTGAAATGTATCCTAAATTCTGGGTATGAATAACGTATCAAAACCAACAACCTAACCCCCTGTCAACTTCAACCTGATGTAATAGTAAATTTTTTATTTCAAGAATGAATTTGCTGCGAAAGACAGCGTCAATTGCTGGGCCACATCGCCAGCAAACTTTCACTGAGTCATTTCACGTGTTAGAACCTTCCCGATTGGTCTTTACAATAACTCTACATGCTCTTTATTTTTAGTCCCAGGATCCCGGCAAAGCACTTAATATCCCCTCCATTTCGAGCACATAGTACTACCCATCTTCCTATTTTCGTTCCGTGTCGAATGGTTAGATTGTTAAAATTAGTCACTTCGACCGAAACGTCATTGTTTGCCGAACTCATCAGAGCGCTAAATTTGTTAAAGGATGAGTTACCGCGACGGGTGTCATTGTCAAATCCGCCCCCTTCTGTAAGTACTCACTCACCACTGAAGAACGTTAGCGAGTGGTAAGCTCACCGATCCCTGTAAACACACAACAACTTCCATCTAACTCTAATTAGGGTTTATCTTGTCGTCCGAACTATCAAACCACTTGAAAGCCGTGAGCGCATAAATTAGCGATACGTTACATCGATAATCGCCTCATTGAATTTTGCTTCTATTCTTGCCGTATGCGCATGGATCGACGTACAAACACAGAAACTCATTGACTCAATTTTCAATTGCAGCTGCCCCGTGGTCTTGGTGACCGTTGTCAGCGTGACTTGTTTTTAAAATGCCATTTCTGACAGAGTCGAAGTATAACCTAAATGTTTAGAGATGCCTTTGTGTTAATCAGTAACTAAATTTATACGGAGGCTACAATCCAGAAGCAGATGCTGACTAACCACGGTAAACACTACTACGCGGGCTCGAGTGCGTAACCCTAAATCACTACATTTATCATATAGAGCCGTCAGCCACTGGAATGTTTTACTGAAACGTGGCGGAGTATGCTTACCCTGTGTTAAACCGGTTGCCGGACAATTCCCTGGAACATTTTTGAACATTGNNNNAACATTGGTCCTGCCCCCCCCCCAACGAAATCTCCGATAGGGCTGTGATAAGAAGAGGTTTAAACTAGATTAATGCATCTTTCTGATAAGAAACAATAAATAATTTGTGTACTAGGGTCTCGAATTCGTTTCTGTCATACGCACTAGACATTGATCTCAGTCAAAAATAAGGCCAAGGGGAAGAAGACTGAAGAAAGTTGTGTACAAATTAACAATTAGAATTAAACTGCGAATGTAACTAGGGGCTATAGAGTACTGTAAGTTCGTAGGTAGAGTGCGAATTCTGTGATTAATGTGATTTGTATTGTTCATTTGTGATGTGAGAGAAGACCGTCAACCCAATCTTGACACTTGGATCGGTAAACCACATAAGGCCTCAATAGGTTGAGCCGGGTGACAGAAGGGCTGTCTACCACCGATATGCGATTCATTTATGACTCTATTTGTCAAGGATCTATCTTAAATGGTGCTGCACACTGGAAAGTGGAGCAAACGGGGAGAGTTCAAGATAGAAAGAAAAGACTTCAACGTATTGTGAGATAAATATGGTAAAAGAAATAGCCGAGTAAAGAAGCCAAAACACAGATTTGCACAATATATCCAGGATCATTTCGCTGCATCTGTACACGTGCATACTACAGTCTATGTGATCATTAATATATGGTCAGTAAATAACGGAATCATGGGCTGAGAAAGATTGCGGTCAAAATTTTTCACCAAACATATTTGTCATCAATGTAGCACCAGAGAAATATCACAGTTGATAAAATAACATTGTCCAGTTTAACATTACATCGGGAAGACATTTAAAGTATCATTCGAGTCATTCATTATTATTCATTTATAATTATTTTCTGTGAAATCAGAAGACTAGAATGATGTAACTTATAAAGGATAAATCCATTCGACAATCTAAATGTTAATTTGTGAGAGCCGGAAAGTTCTCTGATTACATAGTTGGTGGCATACCATAAAACCAACTAAGAACGAGTCCTGTTGCTAACACTTTTAACTAGGCATCATGTTGTTGGGCTGGTGAATCACCAAATCATATAAACCGTTCTATCACGAAGTTCCGCAATTTTATTCACAAGTGACAATCCACATAGAACCGAATGGTGGCCTAGGACAGAACCATCCAGCCACCGAGGTTGAGCGTCGGTAGCCCGGTTAGAATCTCGAAACTGGAAGTCTGGAATGTTTCATTAATTGCAGTTTATCCTCTCAGTTTCGATGACCGAATTTTCCTTGACGGAAGCTTTATCCACTATACTCCTTTTAGATCAGGTTTACTTCTCTCTGTACAGTCTGCTCATTCTAACTACATCAAGAATGACAAATCTATCTATTTCTGCACATCGGAAGCATGGCTGATATTGTTATTCAAATCCAGGATGAATCGGAGTACCGCATATGTCTAGAATATACTGTTTTTAATCCTGTCCTGGAATAGGTCTCATTACAGAATTCGACCAAAGTACTTTAATATGGACCATTGAGAAAACGTTTGATGTCGGCTCGCACAATTAGAGATGCAGGCCGTCATTTAACTACTGTAATTCTACTCATTTGCCTTATGGAATCTTTTGTTCGTTTGTTTGTTTAATAATCTACTGAGTACGTTCTCTCTACTGTTCTGTGGAGCAACTCAAACTGTCCGTGTATCTGTGTACCTCTTCTCTTTTTGGAATCTCAGGTAGATGTGAACTGCGATCCACGCTGGTCGGATGCAATGCGGCTGTGACTGCCATCGACTTCGATCCGAATGTACGTATGGAAAATTTTGCTTTCATGTTATGCACTTATCTACTTATGGTTTCGTGTATTTCGATTAACCAGTTTCTTGTAACTTGACGGAAGCGAGGAATAATCATCGTTTCTAACTATCACAAAGTCCTTGAACTTTAAGGCCGCGAAAATCGTTGGGTGCGTCTACATGGTGACCGGAATCTAACAAATGATGGGCAGTCGCACTAGTTTCCCTGTGCGAAGAACAAGGTGTTTCGGAATATGTTCACACATTCTGGTTGATAAACGACGTTCAGTCCTTCCGATGTATCGCTGACCGCAGGTACATTGAAATGATTGGATACGGTTGGAGGTAACACTAACGTCTTCTCCATCCAGATTAGTGCGCGTGAGAGAACGAAGCGCCCCGTAGATAAATCCCAAATCATACAACTCACTTGTCCATCGCCTTTTTCAAGTGACCCATTTCAACTCTTATATTTATTCGTTTTACATTATCATATAAATGTGCTTTTATAGCAGAATGAGAGCCTGCGAAATTGATGGTCAATATCAATTCTGCTGACATTTGTCTTCTTGTGTTGTTGAAATTCCCTTTTATTGATGTTTACCCATCCAAAGGTCCTTTCTCTCACCCGCATTCTGGAAACTAGCTTATCACCCGTGGGGTACTGCTAGTGCAGATGATCTGGTGCTTCGGTTGTTTTCATTGAATGAGCCAGATTAACTAAACAAATGAGCCTGCTGCGATAAAGTGAACGAAATCGATTAATTTCAATTTTCACGGTCTGGTACAATACTTTTGAAGAAAAAATCATTTCGTAATAGGTGCACTAGTTTCTTACTTCATTGGATTAAAAAATAATTTGCATGTATTAGTAGAAGCTATTCATTTCGTTTTATCAACTGCAAGTCTAATTCTCTAGTTCTGTCTGTTGTTGCACGTATCGAATTTTACACTCATATTATCCCTGTATACATTCATGCTGTTTATGCGGTCCTCAGCTGTGGTATTCTGGTCTCTTTGTATCTGTCATTCCATTTTGTTTTTAACACCCGAGGATTTATCGTTCTGTTATGTACTGTCGCTTCACATGCTAGGAAACGGTTGTTCTCGGTGCGTCCAGTGATTTCTCCTGTCGGGTATGGACCCTGAATGATTCTCGTTTGCGCGTAAACCTTACTGGACATTCGGAGCGTGTCGTCTCGGCGAAATTTATGGGTTGCTCCAATCGAATCGTAACCGCATCCTCTGATCGAACCATCAAGGTGAATCTCAGTAAATTGTGTATCTCATTTATTATTTTTTATTCGTTGTCTGTGCTAGTGCTTCTGTACCGTATGTCACCAGTCACATTATTCAAATATGGGATTTTAGTTTCCCATTCTTATTGATTTGGGGTTGGATTTTCCGATATGATCAATGAATTAATTGGTTGAATCCGGTCACGAGAATCAGAATACTGTTTTTTTTCGTGTTTCACGTGATTTAACTTTATGCTCTCTCTCTGCATCTTAGCAAGCCACATGCTTAGGGTCTGCTGCAGCGAACTCTCTACATTTAGCATACAGTGAATATAGAATAGTTTTCGCGATGCCACTGAAATCGTGCGTCGCTTTGATATGGCTAGTGTGCCTTCGTCATTGTCCTTACTGTACAACTGTCAACTTTTTTTTACCGTCATAGGTATGACCGTCAGTCTATTTCCCACGTGAGCTTTTAACCAAATAAAATAACGTTTATTCATCAGTTTGTGACTAAACGCAATTCTGCGGTGCGGGATCGGACCAAGACGTTCAAATACTGAACACTTACCCCAAACGGTCGTTTCATAATGACCGATCGTAATCTCCTTCGTAGTTCGATTTCGTTATGTTATTTTTTCGAGGTACCCTATTTCGTGATTTAAAACAAAAAACCTACATCTGACTGAAGAGTAGCTTTTCATCCCGCGTACATCGTTTTCCACTACTACGTGCTTTTTTATTACACACCTTCGTGTGATGAACAAATAGACGGGGTAAGCCTCATAGCCACGGAGACCTGCTGTCCAGTGATGGGAACCGATAACCTAAGCCCCGGGACCTCCGAAATCATCAGTATGATCGGGGGTGGGTGTCTAGGGTTGCGTCTGGTCACCCTGCCCTGGCACCTGGCGAAATGCTCCCATATTACCAAGCGTCTCTGATAGCTTCTGCTGAGGAAGTCCTACTCACTGCTTTCTCGTGGCGGAGATGTTTTTGCACGAAAGTGAGAGGACGAAAAGCCGATATCCGGGGCTATAGCTGGGTTGGTGAACCACTGGCAGTTCACCTAGGGGAGTTGGCTAAGAACCCTGATTTCAAACCAACCATGAGGAGGCGTACGAACCACACCCACACCTTTCCGGTTGTGGTAGTGGTCANCATTGAGGTGTATTGGGCACCTTGGACGTCTGACCCCGTCCGAAGGGCGTATGATCCGATGAACTGGACACCGTCTCCAATAGATTGCGGTTTTCGTACACCGCCCCGCTGCCTTGCGGGTCGGGCTTTGGTTAACCAAAGGCTCCGGTTGTGGATTCCCCAAGGAAATTCACCTGCCTTGGTCTGGGCAACCTGGCAGTATTCCGCCCACTTGCAAATCATGGAGCGTTTTTCTTTTTATAAAGATTATTGTACCACGATTTTTTTGGCA